ACTTTTAGGTCCTACTATATCAGAAGAGACCACCTGAAATGGATATTCGGGCTTATCAGTTTCACAACGTTTAACTCTATCCGGTAGACCTCTACAAATGTTTTAAGTATTATACACATAGGGTAAAAATACTCCTGTTTTGGGAGTTAAGTTACAGTAGGGTGAACGTTTCGGTTGTCTAAATAAGAGTTTTTTTTGTCTGTGCGTGCGTACATTATGCAACGTACGTATGATTAGTGCATTTTTGAAGTGTGCATCGTTCCAATCGTATATCGTTTATAGTTTTTCGTGTAACATTTTTCGTTTATTGTGCGCTTGTTATCTCCAGAAACGTTTAGCATTCGTTTGCGTTCGTCAAACGTTTATATTGCTAAGAAAGTATTTTTGCACCACTTACTGAAAAAAACGGGTTAATTTAAAGATGTAAATGATGTAAAGTGTATCTTTCAAAAATCAAAATGATAATGCTCGATAACAAAGTGCAGCCTGTCTCTGACTTGAACACGTAACCCTTGAACCCTAAGAATACGATACAGCAATTCTACCAACTCTTAGCTAACCTGTCGCTTACACATTTCTCCCCAAATGCGAACATTTCTAAACCATATCATATCTCCCCGCTATATTGAAATTTTCCGCGAATTTCTCGGACTGAGAAAAATGTGCAGCCTGACCCTGACTCAAACCCGTAACCCGGATCGCAGCTCTACCAAAATAGCTATCTGGTAGCTTATACATTATCCCCTCATAAGTGAACAGTTCTCATAATACAATACAACAGCTCTAACAACTCTCAGCTAGCCGCCTGCTTACACCATATCTCCCCTAAATAGCGGACAATTTTAAACCATAACATACATGTATGTCCAGGCTATATTGAAGTTAATTTTTCTTAGAATTTCTCAGGGTGAGAAAATATGCCACCGACTATGACTTGAGCCCATGGCAGTCAAAATATTGTACCGCAACTCTACTTTTAGCTATCATGCTGCTTATACATTATCTTTCCTTAATTGAGGACAGTTGTAAACCATGAAATATTTCTCGCTTTTTTTGAAATTCTTCTTCGAATTATTCATAGTGATAAAAATGTGCAGCCTCACCATGACTCGAACCTTTGCCATCAGAATACCGTACCGAAGCTCTACCGACTGATCTATCTGGCCGCCAGCACATTTTCTTCTAAATATTTAACAGTTCTTAACTTCAAATGTTTCCAACTTCATTGAAATTCGTCATCATGTTCTCTTTACTGAGCAATGTTAATTAAACTCTGAGCTATATACAGCTACAGGAAGAGAAAATGTGCAATCAGACCAGTACTCGAGCTGTGACACACAGAATACTATATCGCAGCACTACCGACTAAGTTTTTGCTGCTTACATTTTACCTAAAAAATGAACAAATTTTAACCATAACATATTTCCCTAATTTATTGAAATCTGTCCTCAAATTAAAGCTCAGGGCTATAATATGCAGCCACGGGATATCCAAACCAGGACTCGAACCCATAACTCAAAGGAAAATTTTTCGATTGTTCTATATTTAAAGCTATCTGGCTGCTACACATTTACTCCCCTAAATAGAGATTTGTTTTAAACTGTGATCTATTCCTTCAGATATTTTAATAAACAGGTGAATAAATTTACAATTGTTACAAATAAGAAAAAAAAAAAAAAACGTAAATTAGACTAGCCTTGTGTAAAATAACGAATAATATATTTTATTATCCAAGTTTAAAGACTTACCAGTACTTGGACATTCTTGAAGGGCGACTGTGGGGGTTAAGATATCTTAATTGCAATGCAACCGCCCGGTCGATTTCCACCATGAACCCTGTCATCACTGGTTAGGGGGGACACTTACTTAACCTCAATAATGGATAGATTTTACCTGCCGCATCTCACAAGTTCAGAACAAAATATTTTGAAAAATACAGTAAGTAAAGCTGTTCAAAAGTTGGACATATAATCACAACAATCATGCTAAGCCATCTTTACAATATTACTATTACTCTATTGATAATTAAATAATTAGCCAGCTAACACTGGGGATAAATTTATAATGTATTGACCTATCAACACATGTATTACCATCTATAGATTTAAATGTCTCATCTCTTTCATAATTATATCGTAAGTATAACTCTGTAAATACGTAAATATAATGCAACATCATATAAAGATATACATGTATAAAACATTAACAATTAAGTTTTGGTATCTACTTTTTATATAAATATAATTATGAAGCTCATAAACATTGGTACTTGGACTAGAAATCTAGTAGGAAGAAAACTATAATTCATGGTACAGAAGTAAAAGGAATCTCAGATACTCTATATCATGTGAAAATTGAGTTGTGTCTTAGCTTGTTGGCTTGGATGTGTCGGTGGCTGCATCATGCGAACGTTGTCTTTGCCTTTTTGATCTTTATTCTCGTCTTTTAGCGTTAAATGCATATCTCTCAGAGTAACAAATACTGTCCACATTTCAACCTCTTATCAGACTGACTTGATTTTTCAAGCCAGGGAAATCAGTGGTGGTAAGTGGGCGGTTGGGGGGTAAAAATTAATAAATTTTTGAAATTCATATATAAATCCGTGGATGTTTCTGATAAAATTTACTTTAATAATTGGTCATTCTCAACAAATGTTTTAATTACTGCATGTTAATGATTTATACACATTTACAGGGATATTATATTATGTAGGTCCATATTTCATTTCTCTAGCATACTTGTTTCATTGTGCACTTTAATCTTTGAAATAGGAATCCTGGACTTACCATATTAGATTTTAAAGGCAAATTGAGGCTAATAAAATATTTTTTACGCTACAGTATAGATCTGTTATCTAACTTTTGATTGAGGAGGGGGTAAGAACTGTAATCTAATTGTGAGGGAAATGTGAAAAAGCCAAATTGCAGCTTACTCAGTACATCCGGTATATGGTTTTCTGAAAGCCCTGGGTTTGCATCTGATCAGACTACTTATGTTTCTTCCCTGTGATATTTGACCATGATGGTATGTAGCTGAACAGTGTTCTCTGTACTATTCGATGTTTTGCGCGAAAATCTGTGAAACAATATTTACTTATCTGTAATATAAAGGAACTAATCAAAATGCGGTAAATTGCTTAAAGACTGGGAAATTTAATGACACATCTATGGCACACTTTAAACATTACACTGAATCTTAGTTCTTCAAACCTTGTGTCAGCAACCGAGTCTGTAATTCAATGTGTTATGCTGTTGTCATTGCTCTCAAATGATTTCTTATTTTCCTAATGTGCATGTTTTAACTGTCTCGGGTGTTTCTAAGGATACTTTCATTTTTTAGAATTTATATTAAAGCATGTGTCAAGTGCTGTATTTCAAAATTGCCCCGTTTTTCATGTTAAAGATTTTTTCAATTTATAAATTCTATATTGCTCATGTCAAAATCAAGGTCGTGGGGTTGCAATTTTCCATTTATAAACATACTCATTCAAATGGTGTCTGCAATCATAATGTTTTGGATTTCATTACTTCCGAAAAATACACCCTTTTCCAGATTTTGCATATGACTTAAGAATAAATTTGAACATAGAATACATTATGATTGTAATGCAGATAGAGCACTGATGAAATCAAATGAGTTATCAGCACTCATTGAAATAAATTTATTTTTAAAAAGATGTTTAAACTTTAATTTGCAAATGCAACAAAGTTCGTTTGCAAACTCAACATCAAATATATTAATTGCATCATGCCATAAATAGATTTTAGGATAAAAGCTGGTAATTTCTCTAAACAAATAATCATTATTTTTGCAATATTACTACCTATTATCCAACATATTGAAAGAAATAGAGAAAATTATTCTGTAGTTAAGTTATATCATGTAAGGAATTACAACAGAAATATGTTTCATCGTATAAACTAATGGATTTAGAATAGTTAAAATGAATAAAAAAATTACTCAATATGGAATAAATTAACACGTTGCATGCTCAGAATGTGTTTAAGCTTTTTCGTAAAATTGTTCACGGTAATGTTTAAACTATAGAAATATTTGACCTCGTTCCTTTTGTTATGTTTGGTCTAGGTGGTTAATATAGTGCCCTTCTTTCTTGCATTTTTGTTTAGACTTTTTTATTTTTTAATTTTATTCATTACAGGTTTCATTGATTACAAAACAATTCGTATTGTTTTGTCATGGTTATGAGGTAAATTTACTTATTGGTAGAAACGTTATACCTATGAAACAATCTACTAAGTGTGCACAGATATTTAGGGCAGAAGTTTCGTTTCCATTGAATTATGTAAAACAGCTAACTTATAGTTATGAAAAGAAAAGCACTGGTTATTTTTCTCGAACAACTCACAACAAACATAAATTTCCACTGGACACAAGATGTACATTTAGAGATTGCTGGGGGAAAAATGATTTCACCGATGGCATTGTATCACATGTAAAGGATATTTGCGATCAGAACCAAAGCGCACTTGAAGCAAGCATTGAAATCGAAATGTTACCATTCAAATATTTGAGCATTGAAGACATAAACTCTATCATATTGGTATTGTTAAAATTTTTAGGAGAACAAACTTTGACAGAAAACAAACAGATTACCATGATAGCAATTTTGCATGCAGTATCTGAAACAAAAGGAAAATTGGGAAAACTTTACATATCGGAAGACTACCTGTATGATATTTTTTTCCCTAATCTTGATAGTTTTAGTCATGAAGGATTTCTTGGGAATGAGACACTCGATGAATTTGTACGTAGCCTATGTTGGAATTGCTTTGGTGATATACACTACGATCTTTCTTATTTGAATTATGCTTTCCCCTTATTTGAAGTTGAGAAATTGAAAAAGGAAATACAACTTATAAAGAGGAAAACCATACCATATTCGGAAAAAAATAAAACGAATGTCGTTAATCTACTTACAAAAGTGTTTCAGTCGCATTCACTTGGAGATGTAAGATCGTATGTCATTACTCAAATTATTATGGCGATTCCCTTCGATCTTCTGATTGGTACATATGAGGTTATTTGCAACTGTCCAGAAGGATTGGAAGAAATTGTGGCAAAAGAAACACTAAAACGGACAGAAAAGATACTTGAAACTCTTGGTGAGGACAAACTAGGAAGATTTCTCTATTACTGGGGCATCTTACTCAAACGTACGGATCATGCTGAACCCTTTGTGCAAGTATTCGAAAGAAGTTTTATAAAACTTGTTAATTCTTCAGCTTTAGAAAACCTTCAAAGGTTCGTCGGAACAGCTAAGACATCTATCCTTTTTGCATCACGAGAGAGTAGAGAGAGGTTGTTAAATGCAATTGCAACGTCTGAGTACAATTCCGAATTGTTCATTATTCTCACCAAGTTACAAGAGTTTACTGAGACAATACATTCACTTGACCCTTCGATTTATAAGGAATGGTATGACCACAGTTTCAGTATTAAAGTGGACACAAAAAAGCATGACATAAAGCAAGTATGTCATAGGCTGAACGAAATATTGTCTCCTGAAGGAAATATTGAAAAGAGGGAAGTAGTAAAAATAGTACAAAATATCTTAATACTTGAACTGAAGAAGAGCGCTGTTGAAAGTATATTAAGAGTTACTGATGTATTTGAAAAATGCCTTATCAAAGATGTCTTGGTTGAGACATTCATGGAACATGTTTCAGAAGAAGTAAGGCATACCAGCTCCGACGTTTTGAAACTCCTTGAACCATTCACCGTTCAAGGTATTTTAAGGATAGAAACAAGGTTAGATTATTTTACATATGTTGGTTAAATATATTTTATTTGAGAAAGAAGTGAAACAATATTCCTGGTATGATAGAACAATGAGAGATACTTTACTTTTAATTTTCAAACATATGTTCCAAAGTTCGATGCAATGCTAGATTAAAGTAGTGGCCTGTATTTTGTCTTAAATTGAAATCATATACCGACATTGCATGTAAATAAAGACAAGTTTTATGGAACTTGACACATTTAAATTTTAAATAGCAAAAAAGAAATATTCGTCTTACAAACACAACTTGTATCATAGTTTGGAGACCTTTCTGTTGAAAATGTGTCAGGGTTAAATCGTATACATATACATGCACAGTGCGTTAACTGGAGTGCGGGTATTAGTTACCCGCACTCCAGAGCATGCCCATTGATTGGCTCATTTTTGCTGGGGTTTACATATTGTGACGGCAGAGAAAGGTAAAGCGACAGAAATATCATATTCAGATGTTCGCTCATTGGTTCATTTTTGCCGGGGTTTCATATTGTGACAACAGGGAACGTGTTTTTATGTTTGACTATGATACAGAAGAGGAAGAACACCAAAACACTCGGTAATCTGATTAATACTCGGGGGCTACGCCCCCTCGTACAAATCAGATAACCTCGTGTTTCGGTGCTCTTTCTATTACTTGTATCATAGTTTGGGGACCTTTCTGTTGAAAAAGTGTCAGAGTTAAATCGTATACATATACATGCACAGTGCGGTAACTGGAGTGCAGGTATCAGTTACCCACACTCCAGATAATGCCCGTGGATTGGTTCATTTTTGCCGGGGTTTACATATTGTGGCGGCAGAGATAGGGAAAGGGGCAGAACTATCATATTCAAATGCTCGTTCATTGGTTAATTTTTTCTGGGGTTTCATATTATGACAACAGGGAACATGCTGTCATGTTTGACTATGATACAAAAGAGAAAGAACACCAAAACACTCGGCAATCTGATTTATACTCGGGGGCTACGCCCCTCGTACAAATCAGATAGCCTCGTGTTTCGGTGCTCTTTCTATTACTTAACTTAATAATGATAAACATAAAACTGTCATTATGTTCATTAAAAGGAAAAAAGGAAAACCTTAAAACCATAATTATAGATATGTTATGTGCTTTGTTGCTGCTGGCCACAAGTCTTGTATGATAATACTGATCAGTCTTCATGCAGTATTGTGCATGAATATGTTTTTATAAAAGAAATTAAAGATACGATAAAACAAGCATTAAGGCACATTAAGATGCCAATATTTCAACATTTATGTCATCAAATCGTAAAGTACAAAATATATGATGTTTAATAGCTAAGAATCCTAATGAAAATATATAATTAAAATTATTTCCATGATATTAATTTAGTGTATTTTAGTATCTCGCTTCAAATTGCAGATTTAAAGCTGATATCATATACTTGATTGTCGACAAGTATGCTAATATGGTGGAACTGTCATCCGAAAAACAGGTTTTGTCAAACGTCTTTAAGATGAACCGCTTTTACACTGTCCTTTTTAAATGTCAAGGGGAGTTTACAGAAAGAATCAAAGTACACCCGTTTTGCATCAGAATTGTTCAGTTTGTACATTCTCTTGTTGAGAAGTTGACCGCTTCTGAGATAGATTACAAATTAATGAAGTACATATCTTCCAAGCAATATGAAGTAGAAGCGTTTGCTGTTTTGATATGCGGGTCTCAAGATATACTGGCATTGATAGACTCAAATATGAAAATATTTAATGATGAAATTAAACGTATTGAAACTGTGAAATATGTACTATCTACAATTAAATCCAAGGCGGTTAATGTTCCAAGAAATTTTGAGAAAGTTATTGATGATGTAAAAGAAAGAGAAGCAAGCTTATACAGCGGACACATTACTGGAAACACCTGTCATTTACTATGGGAATCAATGGAGAAAATACCAGGTACCTGTCTTCAGCTGTTAACTGTTGTTAAGTCAGTAGTATTCTGGAATTTACTTCGAGACAAACTTGCAAATATGCTAGAGGAACGAATTGATACTGACGTATCTGGTCAACCAATTGAAAATCACGACCTTCATTCCAATACAAATCAAGAAGGAAATACAGCCGATATGGAAGGAGAAAAAGGCGCTTACTTTTTGCAGTCATCTTTAGATTACATTGAAATGGTGCAGACCGATGGTTTACAATTATATAAAGATTACATGCAGACATTTTTAACAGACAATAATCAGAGCATGAAAGACATATTAGATATGTTCAACAGTAAACCAATCATGAATTCTACCAGTTCGTCATCAAAACCAGATATCGATAAAGAAAAGGATATTGCAGATAAAACACTATGCATATCATATGACCATTCCACATGGAATACCTTAACTAGAATTTACAGTATAGGCGACATAGCTTCGAAAGTCAATATTATTCGGCTTTTTCTTACCGTATTTGAGAAAAACTTGACAGGTGATCAAACAGTTTCTGATGCTCTTGAATCCTTTGATAAATTGCTGAGAGGGAATGTGAATGAATACACCTTTTTACAAGTAAAGACATCATTGGAAATGGTTTATTCTATTGTGAATAAACTTTCGGAATCAACGTTTGATATAATGTCTTCTATAGGACATTGCTCCTCACTTATTGACTTCTTGAGGGACATTTTGGATGAGGACATAAGAAATCTTATTGACGCAGTTGAAGATATATCTGAGCAACAGGTACAAGAATCAACAGTTTCGGGTCTAATTGAGATTAAACAATTGCTTTTCCCCATTCTCAAGCAGAATCTGAGTTGTCAACATATTTTAAACGTTTTAGAAGATCAAGTGAAAGAAATAAGCAATAGTTCAACATTGCCAGCAAAGGTGCAGCAGTGTGTAGAAAACATTCATAATCTTAGGTCCTTATATAACAATGTAGCAAACAGAGGAGAGCAAACAAAACAAATAGTGAAACACATACTTGATTGTGGCTTTTTCACATTTCAGTTAAATGATAAAACACAAACTGTTCAGTTGCAGGCAGTATACACTCTGAATGAGAAAACTGTTACAAAAGAAAGAGCTGAACTGAGTGACTTAAGAAGTCGTTCATTACTTCTTATGAACACAGACAGAAAAGAATCACTAAGCAGTCAACTGTCTAGAGAACAAGTGGAAACATTTGTTACTTACGTTGATGAAAGTATAGAACTAGCCGAGCTATATTCGCAATTGCATACATCTGGTCATTGCTCGTATATTTTAATCGATAAACAAGTTGAATCATCAGCTCTTTCAGCAGAAATAAAAAAACTAGCAAAGGAATCTCATAACTGGGAAATAGAGTTGTTCGAAGAGAGGAAGAAACATTACCTTATGAATTTCATTCATGGTTTTGGACTGCACTCGATGTACGAATATTTAAGTACTGGTGAGAAAATGAAATCGGGAAACATAAAAACACTTGAATGTGCCGTTCAAACCATTTTGAATTTCATTCATCCAGAAATGATAGCAAACAAATTTAAGGACACATTTTTTGAAGAAAACGGATCTTGTCAACCATGGAGTAGTGCAGCCTGGTTACATTGCCTTGGAATGGCACTACATACATCATATCTAAGCATATCTGAAACCTGCGACAAAAAAGCAATTTACACGAAAGGGACAGCGGACTCTCTCAAAATGACAGATGTTGTGCAAAAAGGAAAATTATTTTTAGCTCAACTAGACGAAAACAGTTTATACACAGTAAGAACTGTCATCACCTTATATGCCAATACAGTAAACAAAATGCCTGCATCTCACCAAGTTCTATTTTGTACTAAAGAAACATCATTAGACGAAGTAGAACTGTTGGTGAGAAGATGTTCAATGGCCTATAAATTTTACAAAGAGACGCCATTATACTGTATTGCTAATGTTGAACTTCTTCCAAGTGAGTTATATGCAGATTTTCTTGATATTTTAGGACACATTTCAGAGAATTACGTTAATTTTCTACTTGCACTTGTTTGTAGAGGCACAAATAGTCACCAAATAATAGAAGAGCTTAATGAGTATAAAACAACAGTAGCTCCAGTTTCTGATGCATTAGTTAAAAACATTTTTAAAACTCAACACGAAAACGTGCTAACATTAACGTCAGACTTAGCTGGTATGGGAAAGACAAGTCAAGTTTTCAAGAAAGCACATATCGAGAAAAAGGTAGTCTCTACATTTCATATAAGCGGAACAACTCGCAAATTCAGGCTAGTTGAAAGGTTGGATTCTTTAAAAGTGAACTCATACCATATTTTACATATTGATATTGGAACTGTTGATGACCCAAAGGAACTGGATACCTTTCTGTTTGAGCTTTTAATTCTACGGTATGTTTCGGCTGGACGGATATCAGTTGCATTAAGAACAGAATATGTTGTGTTAGAAATAGCAAACACAATAAATGAATCGTTAAGAAATTCATTGCAAACGGCTTTACTGTTTTCCCGAGAGCACCTTATTTGGAAAAAATTTGATGATTTCCTCGTAAGCAAAGAAATACAAAGCCCCGTTCAGATCGTATGCAAATACCTAAGTTTCAATGATATTGGATGTCTTGACAGAAAAAATATCAATTTAGATGTGTGCAAACCTTTGTCAACAAATCGATGCCGAAAATTACTGAAATCTTTCTTTGGCCTAGAAGATGAGTTGTCTTTTCCTGTTGTTAGAGCGACTTTAGATGTACTAGCTGATCAGTTTAAAAAAATGACATGCAGTCCGTTTTTCAAAGTATCACGATTGCAAGATATGATAGGTAATAAAGGTGATCAAACTTTTAAAAGCAGCCTCGTGATGGCAATGGCAACAAGTACAAAAGAATTTGCATCGCGATCTGTTAGTAGCTGTAGATCTACCCAAGCATCAACTACACAGTATGACGAAGACACAACACCCAATTCGAACGATTTATCCACACATATTATGCAAAGGACTAAAGGTATGATCAGATGGGAGGATAGCAATCATCTAATGTTTGTTTTTCATTGCCAGAATATACAAACTTTGTCACCAATTTATCGCGATCAATCCAAAGTGCCATGCAATATTCGAGATATATTTTGTAGACAAATGAACAAGGAATTGCAGGATTTCAGAGCTCTGAGTCAAAGCGAGCTCCAAAATCTTCTTCAAAAAATTGCACGAAACAATCCAACACCTTTACCAAGCTCTGAGCTGGCAAAGATAGCATCAGGTTATGCATTGACTCCAGATAATTTATTAAAAATGGTTTTGATTATGCTTCGTATAAAAGCTGGCGTTCCAGTAGTTATAATGGGAGAAACAGGCTGTGGTAAGACGTCACTAGTACGTTATCTAGCATCAATTTGTGAAGTACATTTTGATGTTCTGAATATTCATGCTGGGGTCACAGAAGAAACTATTATTGAAACTGTCGATTATCACTGCTCCGAGTCTATGAAATGTCTGCAAACAGAGCGATGGCTATTTTTAGACGAAATCAACACATCCGAAAGTATTGGCGTCATGACAGAAATTATTTGCCACCAAAAATGTTTAGGAAAACCAATTCCACCGAATTTAGTTGTGATGGGGGCATGTAATCCTTACAAACTTAGGTCAAAGAAAGACATTGCTACGGCAGGTCTCACTATTAAATCACAAAACGACGAATTATCGAGACTTGTTTATAGAGTACTTCCCCTTCCAGAAATGATGGTTGATTATGTCTGGGATTTCGGTTGTCTAAACGATAACGATGAAAAATTGTACATTATGAGAATGGTAGATGGACTTCTTCCAAATGAAAAGTTTCACAATTTGTTTTCGGATTTGCTTTCAGCATCGCAGTCATTTGTTAGACAGAAAGAGGCGTCTTCATATGCTGTAAGTTTAAGAGATGTAAACAGATGTAGTATTTTGATAAAATGGTTTGAAAATATTCTTCGCAATAAAAAGCCATTAAAGGAATATTCTCTCAACTGTGATCTTCATATCAGAGCGATGATTTTATCGCTTGCGCATTGCTATCATTGCCGCTTTTCAAGTAAGGATACTCGCAGTGACTATCGCAAAACACTCCGGGCAAAACTAAAGGAATATAATATTCCCGAATTTGATATCAGCCATGATGTCATTGCTGATATAATTGTTGAAGAACAAAAAGATTTTATTTTTCGTATGGAATTACCCGAAGGAACTGCATGTAACTCGGCTCTTATGGAAAACGTTTTTGTCATTATTGTTTGTATTTACAACCGCTTACCAATATTTGTTGTTGGAAAGCCAGGCTGTAGCAAATCGCTTGCAATGCAACTTATAAGAAGTAATCTCAGGGGAAAAGATTCTAAAGATCCCTTTTTCAAAACGCTTCAACAACTGTACTGTGTCTCATTTCAAGGATCGGAATCATCGACCTCAGACGGAATATTAAAAGTTTTTAAGAAAGCATTAAATTATCAGTCATCAAATAGTGCTGATTGTGTTTTGTCTGTAGTCATTTTAGACGAAATTGGTCTTGCTGAAGTTTCAAGATTTAACCCTTTAAAGGTTTTACATAATTTACTTGAACCAGATGGAGAACTGAGGCCTCATGTTGCTGTTGTAGGCTTATCTAACTGGTCGCTTGATGCATCAAAAATGAATCGGGCTATTCATCTTTCACGAACAGATATGGATGAAGAAGAGCTATATAATACTGCAAAGGCAATAAGTGAATCATATTCCACAAAGAGAACAGAAAGAGACTCTTCTTCAACAATTTCTTTCCTTGATGCCGTAGAATACACTACAGAAATAAAAAATGCTGACATAATAAAAGACATTGAACATGAGCTCCAGGGTATAGCAAAGTCATTCAAAGAATACAGCAATAGGTCTAGATTTAAAAACTTTCATGGATTGAGAGACTTTTACGCTCTTGTAAAATATGTTGCAAGACAATTGACAACTGTAAGTACATATCAGGAGTCTCTTCAAACTGATCTCGTGTCAAATGTTGTTCAATCTGGTCTTGAGAGGAACTTTGGAGGTCTTCCGACTGAAAGCAAAACATTGTATGAAATTTTCAATGTTTACTTTAACCTAAATATCAATATTAAAAGGAATGTACTTGATTTGATAAAAGAAAATGTAAATGATCATATTGCTCGACATCTTTTGCTTGTAACGTGTGGCGATTCATCCTTAGGGATACTGGAACAACAGCTCAATAGCATAGGTCGAAGTACAAGAGAAGTTATCTTTGGAAGCCAATTCGAAGACGACTTAACCGATGATTACAATTACAGAATTCTAAGTAGAATTATTTTGTGTATGGAAGAAGGGATCATACTTATTTTGAAAGACCTTGAAAACATATATGGAAGTTTATATGACATGCTGAATCAAAACTACGCAGTTATAGGCAATAAACGGAATTGCAGAGTAGCTCTTGGTGCTTACAGCAATCCGATTTGTCAAGTTGCAAAATCTTTCCGATGTATTGTGTTGATGGACGAAACAAAAGTTAAAAGATGTGATCCTCCATTTTTGAATAGATTTGAGAAGCAATATATCAGATTTTTAGACGTCTTAACAACAGAACAAAAGAATCTTGTTGATCAGTTAAAGGAATGGATTAAAGGCCTTAAAGACATCCAAGAACGTTCTTATGACTTTACAGACATGTTCCCTGTATATAGTGATGATCTTGTACCATCTTTAGTATTGAAGACAGAACGGGAAAAAGAGAAGATAGGACTAGTTGATGAGAGCATTTCTGTTATAGACAGATGCAAAACAAAGTTATTATGGATTTTTAAACCAGAAGCAATAGTACGTCTTAAACGAGCTATTGCACCAACTGCAATGCATGAGGCTGATGAAATTAAGGCCGCATACTTTGATTTACCTATTCATTGCGGTCTTGATAGTTTTATATCTTCCCAGTTGAAAAACTTGAGCGGTAGTACATCAAAGGAAGGGATTTTGACAATTGTATTCACGAACAGTAGCATGCACATTAGTTTACAACAGAGTCTCCTTTGCAAAAATGTTCAAACAGAAAAACTAGGAACCTTTAAATCTGAAAAACAGGTTTCAAACAAAATACAACATTTTTGGTCTTTGGATTCTCAATCAGATATTCTTATTATTCAGTGTAGTGCAGTAGATGATGAAAAACATATTCTATTGACAAAATCGATAATTGAAAGACACAGATCGACATATGTTTCTAAATCGAACCCAAGCAAACATGTATATTTAATTGTGCATACGCCTATGTATAAAGGATCTTCGGAGGCAGTATCTCAATTAAACTTCATGTCGGACTGGAATCTAGTTATGTTGGATAGTCTTGAGTCTTCAGACACGGATTTACCTTCATTGTGTGACATGGATATTTTAAAAGCAATAGAAAATAAAAGACCGCTCGACAAAAGTTTGATTGCACTTTTGTTCTGGTCCTTTACCAGAATAAAATATTCCCCACATGGCAGAGATGTTGACAGTATAAATGCCATACTAACAAAAATGAAACAGTCGCAAGAGTTCCTTACATTTCTGGACGAAAGTATATGGAAGATAGTTTCAGATATGGAAATACAGGAGAAGGATTGGCAAATTAAAGTAGCGTGTGACATTCAAGCTCTTCGAAATTCTTCAAGTTTTGTAGATGCACTGGAACAATACATCATGCGTGTGATAAGAATTCCTTTGACGAAATTAATATTTTGTTTGGAAAGCCATGGTTTATTAGAAAGTTATTTTGTCGAAGATACAGTTTCAGCTGATCGAAGGAATACTTGGCTAGATCTTGTACAAGATGAACGTTTGTTTTCGATTGCCAAAATACCTGATGAAACAGGACCTGAGTGTTATTCATGTGATACCCCTGATTGTGCATTACAGATGCCGTTTAGCAAAATGATATTTAGTATTATAGAACAGCAAAGGGATGAATTTATAGAAGATTTGTCTATCCTTAAAAGTAATTACAAAATAGATGATCAAGAAAATGTGCCATTGACCTTGATAGAAGATGTTTTGGCAACACAGGAAAAATTGGCACTTCGTAATATCCCTGATTTGAACCGTTTTTGTTATGAAACATTTGAAAAAGACTATATTCATGATTTTTCAAGCCTGATATCTGTTACTTTTTGTTCTGGAATGAGGAAAATAAAAAGGGCAAAATACATGGAATGGATTGTTAGGCAGAAAAGCGATATTATCGATAAAACTAAGATTGACATAATTGTACGTCTACATGCAACGACTTGGATGAACACATCACTATTTAGAGCTGAAATGCAACTTTTAGCTCTGTGTGAAAAAGTTGGTCTTGAAAAAGAAACATTGGAACATGTGATACAAACAAGTGGGTTAGAATGTAGACAAATTTC